ACTATATGCTCTCTAGAAAAGACTTGCTTTAGATCTAAAAACATAAACAGCATGAAAATGAAAGGGTGGGAAAGATATTTCATGCAAATAGTAACCATAAAAGAGCAGGTGTGGCTATACTAATACCAGACAAAATTGACTTTACACCATAAAAGATTATAAGAGTCAAAATAAGACACTATATATTAACAAAAGATTCAATGCAGCAAGAAGATATAATAATTATAAATAGTTAGGCTCCTAATGATAGATCAATAAAATATAAGAAGCAAAAACTGACAGAATTGAAGGGAGAAATAGATAGTTCTAAAACAGTAGTTGGAGACTTCACATATCCCACTCATAGTAATGGACAGAACAACCAGATAGAGGATAAGAAAATAAATAAGGGAGTGAAACAGTACATTAAACCACCTAGTTCTAAATGATATAATCAGAATAATTTATCCAACAACCACATGGGACATTTCAAGGACAGATTATATGTTAGGCCACACATTAAATCTTAATACATTTAAAAAGATATCTTACAGAGTATCTTCTACAAATACAAATGGCATGAAGTTAGAAATCAATAACAAAAGGAAAATTGTAAATTCACAAAATTGTGGAAATTAAACATACTTTTATTTATTTATTTTTATCCTCACCAGAGGATTTTTTTTCCATTTTTTGTACAGATAGAGTGGGAGGGAGAGAGAGGAAGGGAGAGAGAGAGAGAGAGAAACATTGACATGAAGGGACACATCGAGTGGCTGCCACCCGCACGACCAACCAGGGCCGGGGACAAACTGCAACCGAAGTACGTGCCCTTAGCGGGAACCGAACCCAGGTCTCTCCAGACCGCAGGCCGACGCTCTAACCGCTGAGCCAAACTGGCCAGGGCTAAACAACATACTTTTAAACAACAAATGGATCAAATAAGAAATCACAGGGGAAGTTATAAAATGAAAACACAACATACCAAAACTTAGGAGATACAGCGGAAGTGTGTGAAGGAGTACATTTATGGCTAAAAATGCTAATATTAAGAAACAAGAAAGATCTCAAATCAACAATCTAACTTTTCAACTTAAAGACATAGAAAAAGGAGAAGAAACTAAACCCAAATCTCACAGAATGAAGGAAATAATAAAGACTAGAGGAGAGATAAACAAAATAAAGAATAGAAAAATAATAGAGAAAATCAATAAAAGCAAATGTTGGCTCTTTGAAAAGATCGCCAAACCTATAGGTAAATAGACTAAGGAAAAAAAGAGAAGACTCAAATTACTAAAATCTAAAATTAAAACCAATTCTACAGAAATTAAAAATATTATAAGAGAAAACTATGGACAATTGTTAACAAATTGCCTAACCTAGATGAAATGGACAAACTTCTAGAAACACAAAAACTACCAGACTAAATCATGAAGAAAGAAAATGTCAATAGATTTATAACTAATAAGGAGATTGAATCAGTAATAAATAATCTCCAAACAAAGAAAAATCCTGGACATGATGACTTCACTGGTGAATTCTATCAAACTTAAAGAAGAACTAATACCAAAACTACTCAAACTCTTCTGAAAAAATGAAGAGGAGGAAATACATCTTAACTCATTCTATGAGGCCAGCATTACTGTGACACCAAACACAAACAAGGATACTTACAGAAAAAAACAACTGCAAACCAATATTGCCTATGAATATTTATGCAAAAATCCTCAAGAAAATACTGGCAAGCCAAATTGAGCAACATATTAAAAGAATCATACACTATGACCAATTGGGATTTATTCTTGGAATGCAAGGATAGTTCAACATACAACTCTCTCATTTTAATACACCAAAGTCAACGGAATGGAAAAGGAAAAGAACCCCATGTCTCCCTGGCTGGTTTGGCTCAGTGGTTAGAGCGTCAGCCCTTGGGCCAGAAAGTCATGGCTTTGATTCTGGTCAAGGGCATATACCTTGGTTGTAGTTTGGTCCCTGGCCCTGGTCAGGGTTGTGTGGGAAGCAACCAATCACTGTGTCTCTCTCACATTGATGTTTCTCTCTCTCTCTCTCTCTCTCTCTCTCTCTCTCTCTCCTTCCCACTCTGTCTGAAGATAAATGGAACAATATCTTTGGGTGAGGATTAAAAAAAAAAAAGCCCCACGTGATCATCTCATTTGATGCAGAAAAAACCATTGACAAAATTCAACACCCTTTCATGAAAAAAAACAACAACTAGGAATAGAAGGAAACTGCCTTAACATGATAAAAGCCATATACAAAAACCCACAGTGAACATTATAGTCAAAGATTGAAAGACTGAAACTATTTCCTCTAAAATTAGGAACAAGGAAAGGATTCTTGCTTTCACTGCTCCTTTCAATATAATACCAAATAGCTAAGCCAATCTTGAAAAATTGGAGGTCTCACACTTTCTGATTTCAAAACCTACTATATAAGTCTACAGTAACCAAAACAGTGTGGTATTGGCATAAAGAGAGACATACAGAACAATGAAATAGAATAGAGAGCTCAGAAATAAACTCTCACATGTATGTTTGAATCATTTTTGACAAGGGTGCCAAGACCATTCAGTAGGGGAAAGGACAGTCTTATCACCAAGTGGTGATAGGATAACTAGATAGCCACATGCAACAAATGAAGTTAGACCCTTACTTAACACCAGATTTAAAAAATCAACTCATAATGGATCAAAAACAAATGTGAGGCCTAAAACAATAAATCTCTTAGAAGAAAATATAGGACATTAGATTTGGCAATACATTCTTGGATATGATGCTAAAGACACAGGAAAACAAACAAACAGAAAAATAGAGAAGTTAGATTTAGTGAAAAAAAATTTTAAATTGTCCATCAAAAGACATGATTCACAGAGTTGCCCGGCCAGTGCGGCTCAGTTGGCTAAGCATCATCCCATGCACCAAGAGGTCACTGGTTTGATTCCTTGTCAGGGAACGTGCCCAGGTTGTGGGCTCAATCTCTCAGTAGGGGGCATGCAGGAGGCAACCAACGGCTGTATCTCGCTCTTTCTCTCTAAAATCAATAAAAACATATATTTTTTTAAAAAGACACTATTCACAGAGTGAAAAAGCAACCCACAGAATGGGAGAAAATATTTGCCAGTTATGTATCTGATAAGGGATTAATATCCAGAATATGTAGAGAAATCCTAAAACTCAAAAAACAACAACAACAGCCCTGGCCGGTTTGGCTCAGCGGTTAGAGAGTTGGTCTGCGGTCCTGAGAGACCCGGGTTCGGTTCCCTCTAAGGGCACGTACCTCGGTTGCAGTTTGTCCCCGGCCCTGGTCGGTTGTGCGGGTGGCGACCACTCGATGTGTCCCTTCACATCGATGTTTCTCTCTCTCTGTTCCTCTCTCTCCCTCCCACTCTACCTGAACAAAAAATGGAAAAATGTCCTCGGGTGAGGATTAAAAACAACAACAACAACAACAACAACCTGATTCAAAAATGGGCAAAACACTTGAATAGACATTTCTTCAAAAAAGATCTACAAATGGCTGATAAGCACATGAAAAAATACTCAACATCACTAATTATTAAGGAAATGCAAACTCAAACTGTAAGTGAGATACTGCCTCATAAACATTAGGATGGCTTCTATAAAATGACAAACAGAAAGTAGCAAGTGTTGATAAGGATGTGGACAATTTGGAACCCTTGGAACATTAAAAATAGAATTACCTTATGATCTAGTGATTCCACTTCTGAGCATATATCCAAAAGAATTGAAAGCAGTTCTCAAAGAGATATTTTACGCTTGTGTTCAGAGCAGTATTATTCACAAAAGGTAAAACTTGGAAGCAACCCACGTGTTCATCAATGAATGATTGGATAAGCAAAATGTGGTATATGCACACAATAGAATATTACTCAGCCTTAAAAAAAGGAAATTCTGACATATGCTACAGCATGGATTAACTTTGAGGGCATTATACTAAATGAAATGTCTGTTACAAAAAGGCAAATATTTGTGATTCCACTTACAGGAGGTACTTAGGGTAGTCAAATATATAGGGACAGCAAGTATCTTCATGGTTGCCCTGGGGAAAGGCGGAGGGGGAGTTATTGTTAGTGAGTATAGAGTTTCATTTTTAGAAGATGAAAGGAGTTATAGAGATGAATGGTGGTGACATGTACTTAATACCTCTGGGCTGTATTCTTAAAAATGGTTACAATGGCAAATTTTATGTAATGTTTATTATACCACAATTTTAAAAAGACATAAAAAGGAATAGTCTGCCATTACTTTTGAAAACTTAGATTAAATGGACAATTTATTAGAAAAATAAAAATGGGAAAAATTGGGTTGCAGGTTTGATCCCTGGCCCTGGTCAGGTTTGTGCGGGAGGCAATCAGTCAATGTGTCTCTCTCACATCAATGTGTGTGTGTCTCTATCTCTCTTCCCCTTTCTCCCTTTCACTCTGTCTAAAAATCAATGGAAAAATATTCGTGGGTAAGGATTAACAGAAAAAAAGGGGGATGGGGCTGGGAATCTAATAAAATGGAAGGGGAAGCTATGGAGCAAAAGAGACTTAAGAGACATCAACTAATTACAATGTGTGGACCTTATTTGGGTTCTGATACAAACAAACTATAAAGAAAATGCTATTAAGAGATATAAGGTTGAATAAAAGGAAAGGCATACCATGTTCTTAGACAAGAATGTTCAACATTATAAGGATGTCATTTTCCCTAAAATTATCTATGTTTAATGTGATCTCTTTATATCTGCTAACTATATATATATATATATATATATATATATATATATATATATATATATATATTACAGAGTTGTCACAGAAAAAGGTCACTGAGGTGGTCCAGTATTTTCCATCAAAAGTCCCAATAGTGGTGCCTTCTCGGGTGTCAAATTCATCTCTCTTAAATTTCTTTGGTAATGCATTGCTTGTTGCACCTCGATTATCTGATGGATAAACTAGACATGTTCTCATTTTTGTTTTGTTTTGATTTTTCTAGTAACTATGACTGAAGTTTTGCCAAAGGAAAAGAAACAGAAAGATGAGAAGACCTTAATTGTTGGTCAAGCTGTGGTGGACCTTCTTCCTTTAGTGGAAGGTGAGATGTGTGATTTGCTCAAAAGTAGATATAACAAAGCTCATAAAATTTAACTCCAGTGAAATGAAAAAATCAGCCTCTCTGAATTTGAGGGATTTGATCAAAAGGTGAGCACATTTATCTTTGTCTAACCTTTTCTTCTTTGGCTTAATTTGGCCTTCTTTTTGCAGGAGAGAGTTCATTTGAAACAATGGTCCCACTGCACCCTGTGCTAGGTTCTCCCTTAGAGCCTCTTCAACCAGGTATTAAGGTAATCAGAGTTTTAACTGTCAACATTTCAGCCTGCCATTCAGTCTAACAAGTCTGTCTGATATTGAGGTTCAATTCGATTGAGTCCAATTTATCAAGCACCTTCTTTTTTACAGTCACATATAGTACTAGGTCTGGGAAACAAAGATAAATAAGGCAGACTCCTATCTTAGGAGTCCATAATCTACATATTATGGATTTTAACCCAGTGTGATTAAATGGTGGGCAAGGGCACATGGGCATAGAGTAGGTATCAGATACTTTGCCCAGGGGTAGATGTAGGGAAGGCTTAACTGTCCACATGCCTCTTGATCTATGTCTTTATGGATTAAATTAAATAGTATATGGATGCATGTAACATAATTTCTGGCATGGTAGCCTGTCTCTGTTTATCGGAGTAGGAGAAGCCTGAATTGGTAGGCTGTGTCACTGGTTTGTCTTCTGGGCTGTGTTTCCCATTCCTCCTGGGGATCACTAGCTTCTTGGGGCACTGTTTGCCACACTGGTGCAGGTGCACCCACGCTCAGCAGATACCACAGCTGCCTTCTGTTTTGACAGCTAAAGGAGAGAAGGGAGCCCAACTGATCCACCTGTTCTGACTGCAGTTCTCTAATTAACCATCACAGTAGGCTTCTTTCTGCTTCTTGTTGATTCTGACCTTGGAGCTGTCACAATCCACTCCTGCATCTGCTGTGGTCCTCTTATTTTAGGATGTGGTTGGTTTCTTTTATTAAAAAAAAAATCTAATTTACCTTGATTTCTATCTTTCAAGGATTCCTAAAAATGTGTAGTTTAATGATGGTATTTCTTATTTTCTAGGATTATTATAGCTTTATCCTTTAATTGGATGTAAAAATATCATTCATTATCTTTCTGTCATTACATGTAACTTGTGCTGGAAAGAGGTATATATTTTAGCTCAGTGTGTCTGTCTTGGTTCAGGCTCACAGCCTATGTACTATTGATTTTCCTTAGATTTCTAAAGAAGAAAAGTCAATCAAATGGATTTTCAGTCCTTATGATGTTTGCTCATAATATTCCTTTGTTTACTTGTTTTACATACTCAAAGAAAAATACTTGACAGTTAATTTCCATTTGCTTGGGAGTTCTCACTAAGTTTATATTTAAGCAAGATTCAGAGACTAAAATGATATAAACCTGTACTTGGAAAGATTTCAGTTCATCTTCCAATATTCCCTGTCTTGATTGAGTAATGCAAGTTAGAAATATTAGGGACATTTACTTATCTTCTCAGAGACATATTGACCAGAGGTGTCCCATTCTTCAGTGCCTCTTTCTTAAAATCTTTCCTTCCTTTGGTGTTCTGATTTCCTACTCACTTACCATACCTTTTCATGCTCCTGCACTAGATCTCTCCTCTGCTTGTTCTGTAAGTCCAAAAAGTCTTTTCTTGACCACCTTCTCTTCTTAGTCTGTGTTCATACTCCTGGGGGCAGGGGAGAGGTGTCATCTATGATTTTAAAAGTCACCAGTATGTTGAAGACTTCTAATGCAACAGCTCCAGCCCAGAACCCTCTCCTGAATCCCAGAATGTCAGACTTTACAGTCACCTGCTGGGTTTCTCTAATAATATCCCATAGGCACCTAAAACGCAACATTCCAGAGCTAAACTCAGTATCCTCCCTTAAACTTACTCTTCCTTTCTTCATCTTGGTATTTTGACTAATGGCATCACCCATTTGTGAAATTATTGGACACACATAGAAACTATGTTACATCCATGACTGCTCCCTCACACCCTAAATACAACCAGTTCCCAAATCTGCCTTTCACCAAATTCAGCCTTTCCTATATCCTAAGCGCATTTGGACCTTATCTCCTTAGCTTCATTTCTACTCTTTATTGCCTTATAATTTCTCACCTGGAACATTACAAGTAGCCTTGTAACTGCCCTTACCTCTCTTCAGTTCAGCCTTCCCACTCCTTACAGAGTTACTTAAAAGTGAATATGACCACATCTCTTTCCTTGCTTAGTTCTGTGTGTTCGTAGATTCACCTTGTTGCTTACATGTTAAGGTCCAGATTCCTTAGCAGGCATGCAGTAAGCTTTACGATATGAGCCTGCCAGTTGTTCAAGCTCATCTCTCAGCACCCTCCTCCTCATGCTTTATGTTCTAAAATCCTAAACTACTTGCTTATACCTGAACTGAGTGCACCATGCTGTTTTAATACCACTTTACACTAAACTTTTTTTTTTGTTCATAATTATTTTCTCTTTCCTTCCTCTGCTTATCCAGACTCTGAGCTCCTAGTCACCTTGTAAAAGTTAATTCAGATGTTACCATCTCTTACTCATCCTGACCCCAATAATTAATTGTTCACTTCCTCATTGGACTTCTTGACTAGAGTGATTTGTAAGGTCTCTATTATAGCATTTATGATAAATCATGAATTTATAATATCTTATTTATCTTTATATTTCTAGTGCTATAGTAAAATGCCTGACATATAGTTACACATATTAAACCTACTTTTTATTGTATACTGTATAAAAATATCATATATACATAAATGTCTAACTCTCTACATATGGATATATACATATATATTTGAAAAAATATTTATTTTTAAAAAGCACTACATTTGCCAAATCAGAATTTCTATTGGAGAAATAACTTGGGAATTTCCCATTGGCAGGATACTTAATTCTTTAATAATAATATTAATTACTATTATTAATGTTGATTTCTAAGAAATAAAATGAAAGTGAACAAATTCTTGTCTCTTCTCTATTTTAAACAACACTACTTGTCTTGACTGTCCTACTTGGATACATTACTAACATCAAAGGCTTGGCAGCCCTTCTAAAAAATTTATTCCTTGAACTTACTCATGCTGCCAAAAAGCAAAAAACAAAAACCTTTTTATATTTGAAAAATAGAAATATATTAAAGAATAAGATTTTCAAATATTTCATGAAACCTGAAAGTTTTTTTAAAAGCATTACATTTGAGTTACAGAAGAAACATAAAATATAGACTAGCAAAAAAAGTACCCCAATTTCACTCACTCATGTGCAAACACTATTAACATTTCAGTATAGAACCTTCCAATTCCTTTTCTGTACACATTTGTATACATACTTGACCTCAGTATGGTAGAAGGGAAGCACCTAGCTGAGGGATAAGTTTCTTGGCTCTATCTCTGTCTAATTCATAGAACCTAGAGAAAGTTATTTGAATCCTCTGTATGGAAATAGACTTGACCATTTTTACCTTGAACAGTGATGTAATATTCAAATGAAATAAGAAAAAATATTCAGTCCTGGCTGGTTTGGCTCAGCAGTTAGATCGTTGGCCCACAGACCAAAGAGTCATGGGTTCGATTCCGGTCAAGGACACGTACTTTAGTTGCGATTCAATCCCCGGCCCTGTTTGGGGTTGTTTTGGAAGCAACCAACTGATGTGTTTCTTTCACATAAATGTTTCTCTCCCTCCCTTCTTCCCTCTCTTCCTCTTACTATCTGAAAAATGGAAATGGAAAAATATTCTCAGGTGAGGATCAAAAAAAACTTCAAATGAAATAAGATCTCTGGCATTTCAAAATCTTGCATTATTTTATTTTTTTCCAGCAGTGTAGTCTCGAAGTTAAAGTATCTGTGGCGGAGCCTTTATTGACAACAGCCCAGATCTTAGGAGGCAACCTCCTGAAGGTCACATTGGAGGCTGCCTACTCTGTGCCTGAATCCTTCATTCCAATAGGGCCCCTGCAGAACTACATGGTCAGTCTGCAAGTTCCATCAGCTGGAGAGGTAAAGTCCCATAGCCACATATTTACATAGATTTAAACACTCACAAGGGCATCTCTTCACCTACTAAGAATTCATTCAGAGTAGGAGGGACGGAGGTGCAATAGGCTGGCCCCACACCCATGTGTGGCAGATAAAAATTAGGAGGACACCTCGGTTGGGAAGGCCCTCCCTGAGTACTGAGGGGTCCCCATCCCACACCAGGTGCCCCGCTCAGGGTTCCAGTGCCAGGAAGACAAGTCTACATAACTTCTGGCTAGAAAAACCAGCAGGATCTGAGGCTCATGGAGGTTGAGGCGCTGGAGCCCGAGGCACCTCTTCTTAAAAGGCCTGTGCACGGACTTATCAGACTCTCTCCCTCTAAGCTTGAAGAGGAGGTAACTACACAGGCACCAGAGACATACAGGGAAGAACTGAGCTGTTTGGCACTGGAGCGAGGGCTGGAGAGGCAGTTTTCTCCTGGACTGACGTGCTGTCAAAGGCCTTTGTTCCTTTGGTGAGCCCTTCCCTGGGGCGGCAGACAGTTGCCATATCTGGGACTCCAGCAACCTGGCGCACACTGGTTGCCCCACCCTGGTGATTCCCTGAGGCCCCACCCAACTTTCAGGCCCACCCGAGCTGTTGCCAGTTGCTTAACCATAGGATTGACCTGTCTTGGATCCTGCTTCAGGTTTTTCCTAAATTCTTTCGAATAAGCAGCATCTGGTCTCAGCTAGCCCCATACATCTAGTTAAATAATACATAGAAACAAACACAGGGAGGCAGCCAAAATAAAGAGACAAAGAAACAGGTCCCAGATGAATGAACAGAACAAAACCCCAGGAAAAGAACTAAGTGAGATGGAGATAAGCAACCTACCAGATGCTGAGTTCAAAATACTGCTTATAAGACCTAAGGATGCCCAGTGAACTTAGTGAGGGACTCAAGAGGCATAAAAAAGGAGCAGTCAGAAATGGAGGAGGCACAGTCAGAAATGTAGGAGGCAATAACTGAAATAAAGAATTGCCCTGGCTAGTTTGGCTCAGCGGTTAGAGCGTTGGCCTGTGGTCCAGAGAGACCTGGGTTCAGTTCCCGCTAAGGGTACGTACCTTGTTTTCGATTTGTCCCTGGCCCTGGTTGGTCATGTGGGTGGCAGCCACTTGATGTGTCCCTTTCACGTTGATGTTTCTCTCTCTCTTTTTTTTTTATCCTCACCTGAGGACATTTTTTCATTTTTTGTTCAGATAGAGTGGGAGGGAGAGAGAGAGAGAGAAACATCAATGTGAAAGGGACACATCGAGTGGCTGCCACCCACACAGCCCAACCAGGGCCGGGGACAAACTGCAATCGAGGTACATGCCCTTAGCGGGAACCGAACCCGGGTCTCTCTGGACCACAGGCCGACGCTTTAACCGCTGAGCCAAACCGGCCAGGGCTCTCTCTCTCTTTCTCTTCCTCTCTCTCCCTCCCACTCTACCTGAACAAAAAATGGAAAAAAAAATGTCCTCGGGTGAGTATAAAAAAAAAAAAAAAAAAAAAAGAATAATTTACACAGATTCAGTAGTAAAGAGTAGGTAAAGCCAAGGAGTAAACCATCGATTTGGAATATAAGGAAGCAAAAAAACATCCAATCAGAACAGCAAAAAGAAAAAAGAATCCAAAAAAATGAGGATAGTGTAAGGAGCCTTTGGGACAATTTCAAGCGTGCCAACATTCGCATCTTGGGGGTGCCAGAAGGAGAAGAGAGAGAACAAGAAATCAAAAACCTATTTGAAACAATAATGGCAGAAAACTTTCCTAACTTGGTGAAGGAAACAGACATACAAGTCCAGGAAGCACAGAGAATCCCAAACAAGATGAACCCCAAGAGACATCATCATTAAAATGCAAAATGTTCAAGACAAAGACAGAATCTTAAAAGCAGCAAGAGAAAAGCAGTTAGGCCAGAAGGGAGTGGCAAGAAATATTTAGAGTGATGAAAAGCGAGAACCTACAACTAAGATTATTTTATCCTGCAAAGCTGTCATTTAGAGTTAATGGCCATATAAAGAGTTTCCCAGACAAGGAAAAGCTAAAGGAGTTCATCACCACCAAACCATTATTATATGAAATGATGAAGGGTCTTTTTGAAGAAAAAGATAAAATATGTGAACAAACAAAATGGCAATGAATACATATATATCGACAATTGAATCTACAAACAAAATGAACAAGCAGAACAGAAACATTCTCATATAGAGAACATTTTGTTGGTTGCCAGGTGGGAGGAGGGGGTTGGGGGAATGGGTGAAAAAGGTGAAGGGATTAAGAAGTACAAATTGGTTGTTAGACTGACAAACCTCAAAGGGAAGGGGGAATGGGGGTGGGAAGAAATAAACCAAAGAATTTATATAACTAATGGACACAGACAACAATGTGGGGAAAAGCAGGAGGGGCAGGAGAAGGGAGGAGGGGGTCAATGGGGGAAAAATGAGGAACATCTGTAATACATTCAACAATAAAGATTAAAAAAAAGCATTCATTCAGAGCAAACTCTGCTAATGGCTGAGATTTATTTTAAGCTTAAAAAAACAAAGTTTACTTCTGTTTTATAAATAGATGTTTATATTTATAGTTTATATATTATATATAATATATTATAGATTATATATCAATAAATACGTATTTATTATGGAAAATATGTAAAACATTTTTAAATTGACAATTTTGGGATGTATTTTTACACAAATTACTTTATGTATATTAGTTTTGTGGATTTTGTATATGTACTTTATTATAAAGAAACTTCCTCTTGCCCTAGCCGGTGTGGCTCAGTTGGTTGGAGCATCCTTCTGTACACTGAAAGGTCATGGGTTTAATTTTCAGTCAAGACACGTACTCAAGTTTCAGGTTTGATCCTTGGTCGAGACACATGCAGGAGGCAACCAATCAATGTTTACTCTCTCTCCTGCTCCCTTCCTCCCTAAAACCGATAAAAGCTTGTTAGTGGGTGAGGATTAAAAAAACCTCACAACTTAATCTTAATTCCAGATTATTTTCTTAGTCTAAATTTCTATAGAATGATTGTGTATGGGTCTTTTGAGGTTCTTTGGTAGAGATTTCCAAACCACTTGCTAAAAGGGTGTAATTAGTTAATACTCTCACTTGTTTTATTGCCATTTTACATTTTCAGTATAGAACCCTTCAATTCATCTTCACCAGTTTACATTCCCAACATCAGTGCACAAGGTTCCAATTTCTCCACATCCTTGCTAACACTTTTTTTGGTTTTTGATAATAGTCAACATAATGAGTAGGGAGAGAGACAGAGAGAGAGAGAGAGAGAAAGGAGAGAGACAGAGAGAGAGGAGAGAGAGAGAGAGAGAAAAGCATCAATGTAAGAGAGACACATATTGACTGATTGCCTCCTGCATGTGCCCCAACCAGCGCTGGGGATCAAACCTGCAGCCCAGCTTTGTGCCCTCGACTGGGAATTGAACTCAAACCCTTTGGTGTACGGACAATGCTTTAACCACTGAGTCACAATGGCCAGGGCAGCATGCATGTCATTGTTTTAACGTGCATTTCACTTACTATTGATGACATCTAGCAGGTTTTTATATAAATGTTATATTTTCTAATTTTCCTTTCTATAAATTTCCTATTTACATCATCACCAGTTTTCTACTGCAAATATATTTGGGATAAATTATAGATATGTAAGTGCCTATATTTTAGGGTTTTGTCAAATTTAAGTTTGTTTTTTAAAAGATAATTTTTAAAAAGCTGCATCATGGCCCTCATATAAATATAAAATGACAAAAAGAGTTTAAGCCAGTTCAGAGGAGAATCTGAAGAAATGACCCATATGTTAATGATCAGGACTGTTTGAAATGAATTTGCTAATAATTCAAAACTTATTACCAGTCACAGGACAATAATCAGTTATATCTCCACAGGGCAAAATATATTTGCATATCTATGGACAAGAATAATTTTCATTATCATAAATTTTGAATAAATTACAGAATTGTAAAATAACACAAAGACAATGAAGGCCACAGGTCCTTCTACAGAATCAGATAATCACAGAAGGGTATGTCAGATAATACCTAGCATTCCACTGAAAAGACACTCCAGTAATCCTTTTTGTCCATTTCAAAGTCTTTTACGAAACCTCCTGATGTATGGTATTTATTTCTGCAGAAAGACTATACTATTTTCTTCAAGAATGGTACTCTGAAGCTTGGAGGGGAAAGAGAACCTGTTCCCCGGCCCAAAAAATGGCCTATTGCCAACATTCTGGCTCCAGGAGCTAATAACATTCCTGATGCGTTCATTGTTGGTGGGCCCTATGAGGAAGAAGATGGAGAGCTAAACCACCCTGAGGTGAAAGAGTTATGCAGTTTTACTGTGATGAACTCAGTGCACTGACATAAGATAAAATATTTTGTGAACTACCGTAATTTATATGCATCATTACCTGTTAAAATAAAACCATTACATGCCAAAATAATAGTTATCTAATTCTGATTTTAAAGTCTACTGACATCTTAAGTCCAGCAAACAAAATAATTGATTTAATACAAATTTACTATTTTATTTTAAATTTATTTTTGAGTAGATAATAATACAGTCACAGGTCAAAATAAAAAATTAAGAGATATGCTATTAAAAACCCCCTTCATTCCTCCTAGTTTCTTCCCAGATCACCACTTAGTAGCCACTTTTGTTCTAGTTTCTTAAAGTTTCAGTTAAATAATTTTTAAGATGAGGATAGTTGAATTATTTTCAGTATCTGACACTAAATATTTTAAATAGTAGAGATTAAGCTAAAATATTTGAAAAACATTGTGCAGTGTGTTTTCTCATTGTGATTATTGGAAATTCATATTGTTTTTAGATTTATATTTTCATTTAGATCAGATATTTTATTTTAGATATTTAGATTTTATGTTATATTTTAGTTTAAATCATTAGTTCTCAGCCCTATTTACTTACTAGAATCATCTGGAAAGCTTTTAAAACAATAACAATGGCCAAGCCTTAACTCAGGTGAATTACATAAGAATTTACTTTTAAAATAATACCAAGGCCTAGATGTTGATTTTTTTTTTTTTTTTTTTTTTTAGAGAGAGAGAGGAAGGGGGAGAGAGATAGGAACATTGATTGGCTGCCTCCTGCACACACCCTACTGGGGATCAAGCCAAAAACCCAGGCATGTTCCCTGACCAGGAATCGAACCAGGACCTCTCAGTCCATGGGATGATGCTCAGTCTAGTGAGCCACACCGACTGGGCATTGATTTGATTATTTTTTTAAAAGAGGCTCCCAAAGAATTCTAACATGTATTCAGGGTTGAGAATCACTGATTGAGGTTATGTGAATTAGTACTGGATCAATATAAGGATAATATAAGTAATTTATCTTAATGTACTTTATTAATAGTAAAGTACCCTAACATTTAAGATGGTGTAGTATTTACAGTAGTAGGCATACTTATGGTAATAGTAGTAGTAGTAATAAAAGTATTTTGATCAAATCCATTAAGAGAATGCCCCACCAATTGAGCAGGATGAAATCATGGCATGCTGAGGGAATAAAGTCTCTATCTTATTATTTTACAGGACAGGGAATTTAGGAACCAATCAGAGAGCATAAAGAAAAGGATTACTTGGGACTTGGAAAGTCGTTGCTATCTTGATCCTCCCGCAGTGGTCAGGTAGGAAGAGGAAGGGAATATGTCTAAACAACAAAGAGTGTAGGTGAGAAGAAATGTTACTTCTGTTAGTTTTATCTATATTTGAGTTAAGGTGGTCTGAGATTTTCTTTCATCAAATTTGCTAATAACAGAGGCTTCTAGTGATGGTGAATTAATGAAAGCGGGTTCTTATTTTTCTTCCATATAAAGGAACTTCAGAGCTGGTATATATGGTGTTTCCTTGGTGTTATGAGGTATGCGGGCTCAATGTTTCTTTTTCCTCTACTCTTCTTAACATGTGCCTTCCATCCACAAGTTTGTCTCATAGTCCAGAATGGCTGTTGGAGTTCCAAACTACACATTCACATTCCTGGCAGAAAGTTGGAAGAGGGGAGTGCTTAAGGATAAAAAAGGACACATGCTGGCTGTCTTAGCCCCTCTTATGAAACATTCCTGGAATCCAGCAACCTCTGTTTATATCACCTTGGTCACCTCTAGATGCAAAAGAGGCTAAGAAGTAGTGTTTTTGTTGGATATATTGTTGCCCAGATTAAATCAGGATTTAGACACTAAAAAAAATTTAGATACTTGATATTATATGAATGAATAACTACTACTCTCTGTTGTAGTGACCTAGTGATCAGAAAAAGATGAGAGATTGAGGATTATCAATATATTTATAATCTGATTGCACTACTATTTTATTTTCAATTAATAGATTATTTTTTAGAATTACAGAAAAATTGAGCTGATGTTTTAGAGAGTTCCTGTATACCTCTGGTTCCCCACTTGATTGTGGTGTATAATATAAATATACATTGTTGGATTTGATTTGCTAATTTTGCTAAGGCCACATTGTTGCCATTAGTACTTCAAACAAATAGTTATCAATTTGATCAATTAAAAATAAAAAATAAAAATTTCACCTTAATTTATTTCATTCTCTGATTCTCTTCCTTTTTTTACATAGATTCAAATTTCTGAACCATATCATTTTTCTTTTCTTTGAATTTCTTGTAAGACAGGACTACTGGTCACAAATTCTCTCCATTTTTGTTTGAGAAAATCTTTATTTTTTTTTCTTTACTTTTGAAGGGTAATTCCACCGGGTACAGAATTCTAGGTTGGTGGTTGGTTCTTTTAAAACTTTAAATATTTTACTTCACTCTCTTCTTGCTTACATGGTTTCAGAAGAGGAGTCCAATGTAATTCTTATCCTTGTTCCTCTATACAAAGTTGTCCCCCTCCCCCCCCACCCCACCCCCCCCCCCCCCCGGCTTCTTTCAAGATTTTCACTTTCTCTTTGGTTTTCTGTAGTTTGAATATGAAATGCCTAGGTGTGAATTTTTTTTTAGTATTTATTATGCTTGGTGTTCTATGAACTTCCTGGATCTGTGGTTTGATATCTGTCATTACTTTGGTAAAATTCTCAGCCATCATGACCTCAAATATATCTTTTTCTCCTTTCTCTCTTCCTTCTTCTTCTGGTATACCTGTTACCTCTTTTATAATTGTCCAACAATTCTTAGAAATTCTGCTATGATTTTCCCCCAACTGTTTCCCTTTCCATTTCAGTTTGGGAAGTTTTTATTGACATATCTTCAAGCTCACTGATTCTTTCCTCACTTATGTCCAGTAGGCCCATCAAATAAATTTTTCGTATTTGTTGCAGTGTTTTTTATTTTTATCATTTTTATTTTTATTTTTTTGGAGAGAAACATCAAGGCCGGGAATTGAACCTGCAGCTCAGGTACATACCCTTGACTGGAAGGAAACCTGTGACTAGGCTGATGCTCCAAACGTTGAGCCAAACTGGCCAGGGCTCTAGCATTTATTTTTTATTCTTTCTTAGGGTTTCCAATCTCTCTGCTTCCATTACCCATCTATCTGTTCTTGCATGTTGTCTGCTTTTTCCATTAGAGCCCTTAACATAGTAATCATAGTTATTTTAAATTTGCTAGCTGATCATTCCAAAATCTGCATCATATCTGAGAATAGTTCTTATGCTAGCTTTATCTCTTCAGACTTTTTCTTGCCTTTTAGCATTCCATGCAATTTTTAATTTAGTTTTATTTTTTTGAAGTTCATGAACATGAAAATTTATTTAATGACAGTGCAGTTCTTGATCTTGCTATTTTTTATTGAAAGCTGAACATTATGAACTGAATAATAAGAAATGAGGTAATTAGGGTTTTTAGTGTGAGATTTTATGTTAATCTGGCTAGGAGCTGGGCTGTGTTTAATGTTTGCTCTAGCTGTAGGTACTAAAGGCTTCAGTTTTCTTTTTGCTCTTTCCCTGTTGATTTTGGGTTTGCCTAAGAACTCTTTCTTAGATAGGATCTGTGTTTTGCATTTCTCAGTTATAATCCACTATTATTATATTGAAATTCTGTTGATGTAGTGGTAAGGTGTTAGGGAGAAGTATTCTATAATCCTGTGATTAAATCTCAGGATTTTAATGGGTTTGAGTCCCTGGGTTGTGACCTTCAGAAGTGTTTAGTAGCCTTTTTCTCTTCCTGTCCGTATGTGAGGCATGAAACCTAGATGGGGCTGGAGATGTCCAACTGCTTTTCCCTGGGTCAGATAAGCCTTTCTAGACTACTGTCCCTTAAGAGTAGGCCTTTGTTATGGAAAACACGCTGGGCATATTTCAAAATGGTTACTTTTTCCTTCTCTCTGCTTAAGAGGATTTTTTTATCCTATCTTCACTGTAAGAATCTGCTGGGCTTCTTGTTTTAAAACCCAAAAGTGTGAGGAATCCCTAAGACTGGGCCCCCAGGAGTTCTTAACTCTCTGGCACATCCACACTCAGCCTCTAGTAATGTGTCAGAATTACCCTTAAGTTGTTTCTACCTGTTACAGACTCCAGTGGCTTCTGCAGCCTGTAAGCAGATCTCAGCTGTGATTCTCTGTACTTGACTATCTCTTCAAATTTATATGTAGCAATTTGCCCTATGACCCCAATTCTTAGAAGAATCTAAGAAAAGTCATTAATTTTCAGTTTGATCAGCTTTTTTCTTGTTGTGAGGAAAGTAGTGAAACTTCTAAGCTCTTCACATGTCCGTCAGCTGATACTGGAAGCCCTGCTCTATTTTCACAGTAGAGATTGATATATTTTTAAACTATTTTTGCATAGTTGTCTGATTATTTCTTTAGAAAATATCACTAGAAGTGGAATTTCTGGGCCAAAGATTATGAACATTTTAAGGCTGTTGATTCATATTGCCAAATTGCTCCGAAAAGGTATAATTTGCCTCTGCTAGCAGTACAGTAGAATCATTTTCAGAATTTTATAGATTTGAGAAGGTTTAAAAAACCTACTTACCTAATAAGAATTTATATATGTGTACTCCATTACTTTTTAAAAGAGAAGAATACTTTCCTTTAACCTAAATTATACTAACTCCATTTTTGCACAAAATGCTAATGGTCTGATTCTTGACCTGCAGTTTTCAGAAGCGAATTGCTGATTGCCGTTTATGGCCTGTTGAAATCACAAGAGTTCCTCTGGTCACTGCACCCAAAGGGAAAACTGCCAAATTTGATAAGGTAAATTTGTTTACTTAAAAACATTCGATGTAAGAAATGCTGCCTCAAATTCTGTCTAATACCAATGAAAAATATGAACTGATGTGGCTACTCCCTAGACCAATTGATTCTGATTTGTGGAATAGTTTCCTGATTTTAATGCTGAAAGTCTTGTGTCCCAGAAAACTCCCCTGTTCCTGGAAAATCAGGATGACTGGTCACCCTAGCTCCCTATTGTCCACTAAAAATTACTTAGCCTTTATTCTTAGAAATCCTTATTCCCTTTAGCCCTTTGTTACAATTTTACCATAGGTAAAACCATACGAAATAGCCATTTTTACATGTCAAAAGTAGTTAAATATTGTCAATATGGATCAACCTCATACATCTTTCTGAATTTCTTTTAGACTTTGGACTTACAATGTTTTAGCTTGCTAATTATTAGAGTACTAGAGTTCATAGATGTACTACTGTTCTGAAAAGATATAGCTTTGATGAGCCTAGAATATGTTCTCTAACTTGTGTATGTCTGGTCTTTTATTGTTATGGAAAAGACTGAGCCAGCACACCGGAGAAAGCAGGAAGGGAAGAGGTTCCTTTATTTACGCAGGCGGACCTAGAGGAGGCAGTCTCCAAATGCTGGGCCCGAGTTGGGGGGGGGGGGGCGGGCAACTTACAGGAGCAGGAAGCTAAAGGGGTCATGTCATTTCTAAGATGGTGGCTCAATTAAAATGGTGGTTTACTTCCTCTATCATTATATCTTTTCATAAACTCCCTGTAGGTAGGGATCCTATTGTAGAATACTTTGTATCTTCCACAGTAACTAATATGATTCATGACATTTAGCATATACTTAACACACACCTAAATTATTTTACTGATTTTTAAAATGTGCTTTTTGAAAGAATAAAGATACTACTACTGCTTAGCCAATATATACTGGCTAAGTTTACTTAAATTTCTAAACAACATAATGTTATTATGTGAACATAGGACTTTAATCTAATTTCTAATTATTTTAACAGGTAAAAACAAAAAGATTACTTTTACCCTTGTGGGAATTAAATGTGTTTTCTTTCACTTCTTTTCTTATAAAAGTTGTCTATGGCAAACCACACAGCCGTTAAAAATGATGTTAAGCCCTGGCTGGTTTTGCTCAGTGGTTAGAGCGTCAGCCCACAGACCAATGAGTGGCAGGTTCGATTCTGGCCAAGGGCATGTACCTCGGTTGCAATTTGTCCCCAGCCCTGGTTGGGTAGTGTGGGAGGCAGCCACTCGATGTATCACTTTCACGCCGATGTTCTCTCTCTGTTCCTCTCTCTCCCTCCCACTCTATCTGAACAAAAAGAGGAGAAATGTCCTTGGGTGAGGATAAAAAAAAAAATTATGTTAAGATATATTTATTGACATATTCTTCATCTTTGTAATGAGAGTTGAGATGACATTAGGGATGGCAAATACATGATGGCAGACTGTCTTTCATTCTTCTTCATCCATGGCAGATAGTACTGTTCAATCAAAACACTCTTTTCTTCTGAACCCAGATAAAGATACGGAATCTTCCTCAACACATTACTCTAAAAACCTCCACCAATTGATTAGAATGTAAGCATCAGTTAAAGCCTATTTGTCAACACTGGTCCAGATGACTTGTAAGATCCTTTCATTCATATAAATCTATGAACTAAAGCTAAAAGCCACAGCTTCTGATTTCTTTTAAAAATATTGTTGTTGTTATTGTTTTTTGCAGTTTTACTTTTTCCTAAGAAGCAACATGGTGATGTTGACTTTTTTGTTGAATATATATTATTAATTAATGTGAGTGTGTGTTGATCCAACTACTATTCATTAACACTGTTCATATTATTTCAGTGATCGTGGTATTATTAAGCCCAATTTGAAAATAAAGAAATGAAGACCCTAAAGCTCTTTCTATGGAGCATGTCTGCGCCTTTCCCCACCCCTTTCTTCCCCCAGTGTGTTCTCTCTTTTTTCTATAGCACACTTTGGGGTTTCTCTTCCTTCTTTGGTCCCTCTTTCTCCTAGGTTACAAGGGCCCTTCTACTACCTCTGTAACTCTAAATAAACTGACCCTTATAATTTGAAAAAAAAATGTGAAGACCCAAAATGTCTATGTTACTGGTCCAGAGTCAACTAGTTAAGTAACAGCTCGTTTCTAAAGCCAGGTGTTTGAATTGCTGAGTCAGAGCCCCATACCTTATATACTACATTGCTCTATAGCACTAATAGGTCTCTGGTTTTATTCCTTTAGATGGACGATGAAAATTCACTTTCATTTCATGGTGTGGCTTATGTTAATATGGTCCCATTGCTGTATCCAGGTGTGAAGAGGATTCGGGGAGCTTTTCATGTTCACCCTTACATAGACAGTATAGTCTATGAAAAGGTAGGAAAAATTGTATAGAAGGTACATCTATACAGATTTATCCTTTACGTGTATTTACTTAAATGTTTAGCCTATACATCTTTGCAGCTGATATTTGGAACTGATATACTGAGATGTTAAATACAGAGCCTTGCTGTCATTCTGCCATTGACCCTCAAAAACTTTAGGCCAAATATTTCAACAATAATGTGAGTAGTCTAAACACTTCCTAAAAAGGACAGAAATTATTAGAATGGATTTTAAAATATCAAGATTCAATGATATGTTGTTTAAAACAGACATACCTTAGATTTAGACACACATAAGTTGAAGTAAAAGAATGGAAAAGACATACTATGCAAGTAGAAAATGTAACAGAGCTGAGTGACAATATTTGTATCAGATAAAATAGACTTCAAGACAAGAAACATTACTAAAGACACAGAGTGGCATGTCATAATGATTAAAGGGTCAATTAATCATGCCACCTGGTGTGGCTCAGTGGTTGAGCATTGCCAGTTCGATTCCCAGTCAGGGCACATGCCCAGGTTGTGGGCCAGATTCCCAGTGTAGGGCATGCAGGAGGCAGCCAATCCATGTTCTCTCTCATCAATGTTTTTATCTCTATCCCTCTCCTTTCCTCTCTCTCTAAAATCAATAAAGAAAAAAAAATAAAATAAAGAGCCAATCAGGAAGACAGAATTTATACATTATAAATTATTATATAAAATATGTATATAAATTATAAATGTATACACACCTAATAGCAGAACCTCATAATACATGAAGCAAAACCTCACAAGGAGAAATAGACAATTTGACAGTAACATTTAGAAATTTCAATATTGTACTCTCAATATTTAATAGAACAACTATAAAAAACATCTATGTTAAAGATAAACTTACCATGCAATCCAGCAAATCATTCCTAGGAATCTACTCAAGGGAATTGAAAACTTGCATTTATACAAATATATGTATGTGAATGTTTATAACAGTATTATTCACAGTGGCCCAAAACTCACAACAATCCAAATCTCCACAACTGGTGAATTGGTAAACAAAATGTGGTCTATCTGTACAAGGGAATACTATTTAGCAATGAAAAGAAATGGATTAAAAATAATGTAATATACCAAGATCATTGAATTTTGGGTGAATTATATGAAATGTGAATTATATATCAATAAAGCTGTTTTTAAGAAAGGAATGGTCTGATACATTCTGTAATACCAACGAACCTTAAAAACTTAATGCAAAGTGAAAGAAGGAAGACACAAATGACTGCATATGGTGCATTACCACTTCCATGAATGTTCTCATTTCCCAGAGATGTTAATATTTGAAAAAGTTTGCATTTTAGAATCCATAAAATACAGTAATTGTAGGATTGTGAGTGATGTTTAGTATTTACAATTTTTTCTTTAATATTGTTGGACCATCTTCTTAGCAGCTTTACTGAGGTATAACTGACATATATTTAAAGTACATGATTTAAAGCTTTTGACATAGGTATGCATCTGTGAAACTTTCACCACAATCAAGATAGCGAAAATACCCATTACTCATCAAAGTTTTCTCATGGCCTTTGCTGTTATCCTTTTCTCCTATCTCTGTTCAATCTCACCCTTTTTGGGGGTGAGGAGTTTGACTTCTTTTGCACAGCATAAATTATATTTAGTTTCATCCATGTTGTTTAATTTTAAGATTTTTGTAACATTCTTTTTTTTTTTTTTATCCTCACCCGAGGACATTCCTCCATTTTTTGTTCAGATAGAGCGGGAAGGAGAGAGAGGAAGAGAGAGAGAAACATCGATGTGAAGGGACACATCGAGTGGCTGCCACCCGCACGACTAACCAGGGCTGGGGACAAACTGCAACCAAGGTACGTGCCCTTAGTGGGAACCGAACCCGGGTCTCTCAGTACCGCAGGCCGACGCTCCAACCGCTGAGCCAAACCGGCCAGGGCTTGTAACATTCTTTTTGTCATTGTAGTTGAATTTTCCCAAGCAAAGGTTTTTTTTAAAAAATATGTTTTTATTGATTTTTTTTTAGAGAGAGAGATAGAAACATTAATGTGTGTGAGAGAGAGACATTGATTGGCTGCCTCTGGCACGCCCCCCCACTGGGCATCGCACCTGCAACCCAGGCATGTGCCCTGACAGGAAATCCAACCGGGATCTCTCAGTCTATGGGACAACGCTCAATCCACTGAGCCACAAGTTAAAACTCGTGCAAAGTTTTAATTTGAACTTTTAAACTTGCCCTATTCTTCTAATCATAATTGATAGACCAGTAATTAGATCCTATTTCTTGTACAGAAATAAATGCTACCACTTAAGTTAATTTGAAATTATGTGTCAAAGATTAAAAGCTGTCTGGTAACAAGTTAGTGAGATACAAAATTAAGCTGGGTTAAGAAGTCTCCTCTTAAGAACTTAAATAAGGAGGTAGGCAGCTAACATTCTGTGATGGTTTCATCTGTTCAACAAGTATGGCAACGCAGTAGAGTTTTTTACTTCCCCTATCTCTCTTTGTTTCTACAATGTTGAAATGATCTAGAAAACTAAATGATGTTAAAGAATTATGTGGGCTTCTTTTACTTGCTTGTGATTCATTGCATTTTGTTTGTTTTTCAGACCAAGTGTTTATTTAGCGTGTTTCGAGATACTGGGCATAATTTGATTCCAAATAACAAAATAGGAGGAGTTAATTCTCCATTGTCCAAACCAGTTATTTCTAAGAACCTGAAAGAAGAAAAAATAGTAAGAAAAAATATGGAAGAAAGGCCTAGGCCTGGGGATGTGGTAGGTTGTTGAGAAGGTGATAATTTTGGTGATTTTGCTGCATTCCAGAGGCTTACACTGATTTCTCATTTGGTGACTTGCCTCAATTTGGTTTGCATGTTGATGCAGCATAATGATTATTGTTCCTGCCATTGTGAAGACCATGTAAGAATTCCATTTTTAAGGTATATTCATTTTGTTTCAGCAAGCATCTAGTATAAAATCTCAGAGCTCAGATACTCCTTTGGAAACGGAATCCTCTCTAAATCACAATCCAGAAGGACAGGTAAGTATGCATAGAATTGTAAAATTAAGTTTGAATTCATCAGTTCTTTACTGAACAAGGTAGTGTGGTATAGTGAAAGATGCTCATTGAGTTACCATCCTATATTTACCGTAACTGGTTTATGATATTGGGTAAATTTCTTTGTCTTGCTGAGACTTATTGAAATGAGTAGGTACCAGATAAACTTTAAGGTTCATTCTAGCATTAAAGATTTATGTCTTTTATTAATTCTACTAAATTGAATACTATGAGGGATGCGAAGATGCATCATCTATAGTATTTATTCATCTGCTCTCAGGATACTCAACAGTCTGGTGGGCAAAATAGACTGGTACATAACTAACTGTAACACAGAATTTTGATGAATGCTGTAGTAGAGGTATGCATAAAAGTGTTATGTGGGCTCCAAGGAGACAGATTAATACCTACTAGGATGGGATAGTCTCAGAAGTCTTCATGGAAGAGGTGGCATCTAAGCTAAGTAGTGAAAGATGAAGAGAACACTTTGCCAGATGAAAATGGAAGAAGAGGCATTTCAGGGTCAGGAAACAGCTAGTCAAAGCACAAAGAAGGTAGCAGACTCTGGGGTACATCAATTAATTCAGTGTATGGTATAGAGAAATGAAAAGAAAGGAGAGGTTCTAGGAGGTGAGAAAGAAGAGAGAGACTGAGTTGGATTATAGAAAGACTTTGAAAAGCATACTAAAAAATTTGGGCTGAATTCTATAGGTGATAGGTGACTCTCAAGCCTCATCTTAGGGACTTACATTAAAGGCTTTTTAACTTATGTGGAAATAAGACTTCATGTGTGTTTCAGGGCAGAAATCTGGCAAGGATGTGAAAAGAGGGATTGAAGTTGGGTAAGGGCTTCAGATGTCAGTTTATAGGTTTTTCTGATAGTACACATGAGTGTTGAGTACAGTTTGAGTTAAGGCAGGGATTATAAAGAAAGTCAGAAACATGCAGAGACAAGGTGGAACTGGGAAGCTTTGAGGTACTGAGAAAAAAAGTTAAAGATAAGTCAAGTTTCAAGCCTTACTTTCTGGAAGGGTGACAAAATCGTTAAGAGAAAATTCAAAAGAAAGGTTGACATAGGGGAAATGATAAGTTTGATTTTGGATACATTGTATTTAGGATGCTAGCAAAAATCTAGGTAGAAATGCCCATCAGGTCACAGTTGGTAGATAGTGGTGAGGAGGCTATGAGTGGGAATGTCAGAAGGTTATGAGGAGAATATTTCTGCAGAATTCATGAAAGAGGTTTGGTGGAAGAAAGAATGGCATTCACTTAAAACAGTTACGAGGAAGGTACTGAAAAAGTTAAACAGAGCTTCAGCTAGGGTAGATGTTTCCAAGAATAAAATTGAAAATCTTTTCCTACAAGAGTTAACTACTATTGCTATTTTTCTGTCCATTTATTTTTCTATGTAAAAAATATTTTAACAGTTAAGATTATATACACACACATATACATGTGTATATATAATCATATATATCATATATGATATCATATATTATATATATAATAATCATATATAATCATATATACATATATGTATATATAGCTGTATATGCAGTTTTCTCACTTTATTATATTGTGAACATTATCTTATGCTACTAAATTTTTTTCATAAATATCTATTTTACTGAAAAGAATAAAATAGAAAAAATGTCTTTACAGCAATATGTAGAAGCAGGGACATACATTGTGTTGGAGATTCAGCTGGACAAAGCTTTGGTTCCTAAGCGAATGCCAGAAGAGCTAGCCAGACGGTGTGTAGCAATGATTCTCATACTTGTTGTGCGAAAATAATTTAGGTATACATAAAAAAAAGTCAGTTTGTACCCACAAATGTAATTACCTCTGGGTTAAACAATAATTTTCTGCTATTTTTTTCCAGAAGAAATTTCTTTTGTTTTCTTATTACAAAAGAAGTATATACCTATTACAAAAATTTTGAGAAATTGAGATTAGATACAAAGTACAAAGACACACTGATTTCTACTCACCTGATAGCCGCTTTTAACACCTTGGTATTTATTCTTCTAGAGTTATTGTAAAGCCCCTCTATTAAACAAACACACACCCATGTCACATATAAATATATGTAATTTTTTAAAACTATTTTTATATTGTACTATAGTGCTTTGATTGTTTTTCTAGGAAGTTGTCATTTCACCAAGGTTATCCATTTGTTGATGTACAATTGTTCATGGCATTCTCTTTCTCTTTTTCTCTTTGTAAAATGGGGAGTAATGTCTCCTCTCTCACTTCTCATTTTAGTAATTTGAGTCTTTTTTTTCTTAGTCCATCTACCTAAGAATTATCAATTTTGTTGATCTTTTCAAAAATGAGTCTTTTTGTTTTGTTAATTTCCTCTATTGTGTTTCTTTTCTCTATTTTATTTATCTCTACTCTAATTCTATTATTTCCTTCCTTCTGCTAGCTTTGGGTTCAGTTTGCTTTCCTTTTCTAGTTCCTTAAGGTATACAGTTAAAATTATTGATTTGCAAGCTTTCTTCTTTTTAATATCTGAGTTAGAGCTATAAATTTCTCTCTGAACACTTCTTTCACTGCATTCCATAAGTTTTGGTATGTTGTGTTTTTGTTTTCATTCATCTCAAAGTATATTCTAATTTCCCTGTGATTTCTTCTTTGACCTATTATTTAAAAGTGTATTGCTTAATTTCCACATATTTGTGACTTCTCCAGTTTCCTTCTAATTATTGATTTCTAGTTTCATTTCATTGTAATTAGAAACTATATTTTATATTATTTCAATTTTTTAAAAATTTATTAAGATTTGTTTTGTGGCCTAACATAGTCTATCCTGTAGAATATTCCATGTACACTTGAGAAGAATGTGTATTCTGTGATGTTAGGTGGAATGTTCTGTATGTCTGTTAGGTCAAATTGTTTTATATTGTTATTGCTTTTTCTTTAAATATGTTTTTATTGATTTTTTTAGAGAGGAAGGGAGAGAGAAAGAGAAACATCAATGTGAGAGAGAAACATTGATCAGCTGCCTTGTGCACATCCCCTACTGGAGATTGAGCCAGAAACCTGGGCATATGCCCTGATCAGAAATAGAACCAGGACCTCTCAGTCCATGGAATGACACTCAACCCACTGAGCCACACTGCTCTACTTTATTTTTAAAGTCCTTTATTTTCTTATTGATCTTCTGTCTGATTGTCCTATCCATTATTGAAAGTGGGATTTTAAAATCTCTAATATTAAAGAACTGTCTATTTCTCCCTTCAGTAGTCTCAATTTTTGCTTATATATTTTAGGGCTCTACTATTAGGTTCATATGTGTTTATGATTGTTATATTTTATTGCTTTCTGGAACTTTCTATACATCTGCCTATCTATCTATCTATCTATCTATCTATCTATCTATCTATCTATCTATCTGCCTATTTATCTACCTGTCTATCTATCTAGTTCTTTTTGTCTCCTGTTACCTTTTTTGATGAAGTCTATTTTCTCATATGGTAATATAGCCACCCCAGCTCTGTTTTGGTTACTATTAGCATGGGATATGTTCATCTATCCTCCTACTTTCAATTTCTTTGTGATTTATTTATTTATTTATTTATTTATTTATTTATTTATTTATTTTTGTTACAGATGTTTCTTCTTTTCCCCCCACTGATTCCCCCTACCACTCCCTCCCTGCCCTTTGTTGTCCATGTCCATTGTTCATGCGTACATGCATATAAGTTCTGTGGTTTATCTCTCCCCCCACCCTCTCTTCTGGGGATTGTCAGTCTGTATCCCACTTCCACGTCTCTGGGACTACCCCATTCCTCAGACTGTTATGTTCATTATATTCCACAAATAAGTGAGATCATGTGATACTTGTCTTTCTCTGTTTGGCTTGTTTCGCTTAGGATAATACTTTCCAGGTCCCTCCGTGTCGTCTCAAAGGATAAGAGATCTTTCTTACAGCTGCATAGTACTCCACTGTGTATATGTACCACAGCTTTTCATCCATTCATCTACTGATGGACATTTGGGCTGTTTCCAGGTCTCAGCTATTGTAAATAGTGCTGCTACGAACATGGGGGTACATATATTCTTTCTGATTGGTGTTTCAGGCTTCTTAGGGTATATTCCTAGAAGTGGGATCACCGGGTCAAATAGAAATTCAATTTTTAATTTTTTGAGGTAACACCATATTGTTTTCCATAGTGGCTGCACCAGTCTGCATTCCCACCAGCAATGCACTAGAGTCCCCTTTTCTCCACATCCTCGCCAACACTTGTTGTTTGGTGATTTGTTGATGGTGGCCATTCTGACAGGTGTGAGGTGATACCTCATTGTTTTAATTTGCATCTCTCTGATGATTAGTGTCTTTGTGTTCTTATATCTAAAGGGAATATCTTGTATGCTGCAAACAGATGGACCCTAAAAAAATTTCAATCTACCAAACTTTGCCTTTTAATAGAAGTGTTTAATCCATTTATATTTAATGCAGTTACTGATAAAGGATTTACTTTTACTATATATCTATTTGTTATCTGCATGTCTTCTATGTTATCTGTTCTTGAATTCCTCATTACTGTCTTTTTTATATTTAATTGACTTTTTACAATGTATCATTTAGATTCTCTTCTTTCCTTCTCTTATATTTTTAAATTTATTTTCTTAGTGATTACCTTGTGGGTTACAATAATCATCTTAAACCTGTAACAACTTAGTTTGAGTAATACCAATTTAACTTCAATATTATACACTCTGTTCCTCCTATACATCTCTCTCTCTTCCTCTTTGTATTATTATTGTCACAGATTATATTTCATATATTGTATTATGTATTTGCCTTCTAAAAAAAAGAGGTAAGGAGGAGTTACAAATCAAAAATTGCCAACCAAGAATCCTATATCAAGCAAACTATCCTTCAAGAATGAAGGAAAAATTAAGACAATCCTAGATAAACAAAAGCTAAGAGAATATTACTAGACTAACCTATAGGAAGTACTAAATGAAGTCCTTCAGGCAGTTTTTTCTCTCAGAACTTTAAATGTTACCCACATGCCTTCTGGCCTCCATGGTTTCTGATGAGACATTGTTGAAATTATCTGTTAACCTTATGTGATGAGTCATTCCTCTCACTGCTTTTGAGAGTTTCTCTTTGTCTTGGTTCTCTCTTCTGCCTGATCAAATTTGTTGAATTCTCTAATGACTTTCTCATTTCAGTTATTGTACTTTTCAACTCCAAACTTTCTATTTGGTTCTTTTTTTTGTTTATTTATTATTATTTTTTTATCCTCACCCGAGGACATCTTTTTTTGATATTTTGTTCAGATAGAGTGGGAGGGAGAGAGAGAGAGAGAAACATCGACGTGAAAGGGACATATCGAGTGGTTGCCACCCACATGATCCAACCAGGGCCAGGGACAAACTGCAACCGAGGTACATGCCCTTAGTGGGAACCAAACCTGAGTCTCTCTGGACCACAGGCCGACACTCTAACCGCTGAGCCAAACTGGCCAGGGCAATTTGGTTCTTTTTTAAAAAAAAATAATTTCTGTCTTTTCACTAGTATTCTCATTTTGTGCATACATAATTTTCTGGTTTCTTTTAGTCCTTTGTCTATGGTTTCCTTTAGCTCTTTGAGCATATTTAAATTGGTTTATTTAACATCTTTTTTTCTTTTTTCTTTATTGATTTTTTAGAGAGAGAGGAAGGGAGAAGTAGAGAGAGATAGAAACATCGATGAGAGAGAACATCAATCAGCCACCTCCTGCATGCCCCTCACTGGGGATCAGGCCCACAACCTGGGCATGTGCTTGGACCTGGAATGGAACCAGCGATCTCTTAGTACACGGGTCGACGCCACTCCAGCCGGGCTATTTAACAACTTTTTATAGCAAGACCAGTATTTGGGCTTCTTCAGGGATATATTTCTGTTCATTTATTTCTGATTTTGAAAATGTCATATTTTTATCTTTCTTGGTATGTTTTGTGATTGTTGTTGTTGAAAACTGGACATTTGTACACTAGAATGTGGGAACTTTGGAAATAAAAATTCCCCCTTTCCCAGGGTTTGCTGTTTTTAATTAAGTTGTAGCTTGTATTCTACTAGTGTTTTGACTAAGATGTCCTTGAATGCAGAGACCTTAATATATACAAAACAGCAAAACTAAAACAGAAAAAAAAACTTTTTTTTTTTTTTTTTTATCTTTGTAGGTGACTGTGGTGAGCCATTCTTTTAACAACTTAATCAGGCTGTTTATAATCCTACCTCATATTTCACTTCCTGTTTGCAATGAGACTATAGATCAGTCATTGGTGAAACTTAAGGTCTTCTCATTTTTTTTTTTCTGAGTGCAATTCCAATCCTGGGCATGTGTATAGATTTCTAAATTCCCTAGTATATACAACTACATTTAAATACCCTAATTTCCACCCTGGCGGGTTTGGCTCAGCGGTTGGAGCGTCGGCCTGCGGTCCGGAGAGACCCGGGTTCGGTTCCCGCTAAGGGCACGCACCTCGGTTGCAGTTTGTCCCCGGCCCTGGTTGGTCGTGCGGGTGGCAGCCACTTGATGTGTCCCTTCACATCGATGTTTCTCTCTCTCTCTCTTCCTCTCTCTCCCTCCCGCTCTATCTGAACAAAAAAAAAAAAAAAGGAAAAATGTCCTCAGGTGAGGATAAAAAATAAATAAATAAATAAATACCCTAATTTCCTAAAGATACTCCCTGGCTTTTCCTCCTAAGCCTTATGTGGGTTTCAAATTAGGAAAAACAGAATTGAGTGTCTATG